TGGTCCTGTTTGCTAAGGATATTATTTTATTTATGTTTTCTTAGAGACAGGCTGTCACCCAGGCTGGAGTGCAGTGGTGCAGTCATAGCTCACTGCAGCCTTGAACTCCTGGGCTCAAGCGATCCTCCTGAGTAGCTGGGACTACAGTCTTATACCACCCACCTAATTTTTCTTATATATATTTTTTTTTTATAGAGATGGGCATCTCTACAACCTTGCTTTGTTGCTCAGGTTGGTTTTGAACTCCTGGCTTTCAGCAATCCTCCTGCCTTGGCCTCCCAAAGTGTGGGGATTACAGGCTATGCTGCTCAGGCTGGTCTAAAACTCCTGGGCTCAAGTAATGCTCCCAGTAATGCCTTCCTGAGTACTGGGATTCCAGGCATGGCCGCTGACCCTGTCCTGCTGAGGGTTGTGTATGCATGCCTTTGTGGAATCAACTTTTATGAGGTAGGCACTATTTTTATCCTCATCTTAAGATGAGGGATCTGAGCTCATTGAGCAGAGGAAGGGTTAGGGGCTCTAGCCCAGCTGAGACCACCCGGAAAAACTGTGGCTAGGATTGGATTGGCTGAAGCCTGAAAGGGGACCTGAGGTGCTTCCCCAGCCAGAAGCAGCATTTCAGCTGTCCTCACCCTCCCAGACTGAACAAAGGCCTAAGAAAGAGTTTGTGTGCTTCTCAGAGGGTGAATTCTGTGCATTTAACATTTTTCTGTTGAGAATTCCAGTCTTCACCCATTCATGAGAAGTATCCGGTCTTCCCTCCTGGCTACGGGCCTGGTTGTACTGACCAGCAGAAAAGGGAGTTGCAGGAAGGAGCTGCTAGCTGGCTTTAGGAGGGGTGGAGGGAGAGTCTCAGGCTTGAGGACTCCTCAGTGGGCAGGAAGCTCTCTGAAAGAAGTGCTGGGATTGTCCCTGCCCACCCATGAGTTGCCTTCACTCTTCTGCGTGCCAGGCACTGGCCAGCATCACTCCGCTGACCCTCCCCTATCGCAGCCAGCATCACTCCGCTGACCCTCCCCTGTCCCGGCCAGCATCACTCCGCTGACCTTCCCCTGTCCCGGCCAGCATCACTCTGCTGACCCTCCCCTGTCCCATGAGTTGGGTCCTGCTGCTGCCATTATTGTTGCTGCTGAGAGAACTGAGACAGAGCTAAAGTCACCTGCTGAGGCCTCCCCGGGGCAGAGGTGGGCTTGAACTCTGCTTGTTTAACTCCAAAATTCACCTGTTAGCTCTGAGAGACACTGCCATCTTACCTAGCAATGCTAGACGTGGACTAGACAGGGCATAGCCTGGGCCACTGACACCGTCACACTGTCCCATGCAGAGAGCTCTGTACCTGGGCATCCCACACCAAGAGGCTGGCAACAACAAGGTTCTCCGTGAATGCCTGGCACTGAGGTTCTCCCAGGATTTTATATCTAATCCCATTTGCGTAGCCAAAAGTTATCACTATGGAAATAGGACTTTCGATTGTGGAAAGTTCTGCTTGGCGAAGAAATGTTCAAACATTAAAATGACTTTGGTTTTGGTGTTTCCGTGTGTGTCTGTGTGTGTGTGTGGGGGGGGGAGGGGTGAGCGATTGCATTTCCAAGCGCCTCGACCATTCCGTCTCTAAGTATCGGTGCTGAGATTTTATACGAGAGACTCTGAAAAAGTCAAAGGCTCCTTGGGGAAACATTCCATGTAAAACTCAAAAAAAGTGAGGGGCTTTCTATTTTCCTTTAACTTCCATTTATAAAACGAAAATACATATACTCCCAGCAGGGAGCTGCTTACCCAGATGTATACAAGTTCCCTTTAGAATCCAGGAAAACTTAAAAAAATATTTTTCCTTCCTGGTAAATAAGAGCTCCTGACAGCGTGTTCATAACAGACTTTAAATGTAAACCCAAGCCCAGGAATGAACCCTGAGAGTGATGGGGGTGGGTATGAGAGGTGCCCTTTGAAAGGAATGGGGTGGCCGAAAGGACAGGCTCAGAGAGCAGGATTGGTGGGTCCCGTTTCTATAGCTGAGTAGCAGGGTGACACCACCCTCCACCTCCCCTCTCTCCTCAAAGGCTGATGTGAGGTGAGTGAGGCATGTGTGGGCTGGCTGGTAAGCCCTCCATAAACGATCCCAATACCATCAGCTTTGCCCTGACCGTGTCTATAGTTCCTATCAAATCTTTCCCTATGTTGTGAATTCCACAAATTCGAAAGCTCCCAGCTCTAAGTCTCCTGGGGACTCCCGAGACAGGCTTAACTTGGCCATTTCAGACCCTCCTCCAACACAGGCTTAACTTGGCCATTTCAGACCCTCCTCCACGGAAGACTGGTGCCAAACAGGCTGGCCCAGCCACCGCCTAGTATGTGAATGAGGTGGTCCATGAATAATGCATGTGAAGCTGATTATGTAAATCCTCAGGTTTGCTTACATTTTCAGCCAGCATACCACAATGGGCTTTTGGGACCCTTTGCTATCCCATTCTGGGGTTTGGTGTCTTTGCTTTGGGGTCTGGGCTGCCAAGCCCTGGGGGATGCCTTGGGAAGGAGCGAGCTCTGTCCAGAGGGCACATCGAAGGGCAAGCCAGACCTCCGTCTTTGCTGCCCAGCTCTCCCTGGCACGGCACAGCGTGAAAGGAAACTGTCCTCTGCCCGAGGCAGCCCCACAACGCACGCAGACTGAGGCCTGTGATGTTTAATTCAGAGCAGTGAATGCTAGGAGCCACATCCGGGGCTCAGTTAGAGCCTTCATTTCTGGGGCTGCAGGCCAGGGAGCTTTGTGACAGGTTTGCAGGATGGAGGGCAGTGCCTCCTGGTTGGAGAAGGAGCTTCCTTCTCTGGGGGGGTTGGTCTCCTCTGAGCTCAGGCAGACAACACACACACCCCCAGAGTCATGCTAACACAAATATTCACTCACACAGCACGCACACACACACTCCCACAGATGTGTACATGCACACACACACGTGAGCATGCACACGCACACACACACAACTCCAAAGTCAGGAAGGCTACCAATTACCAGGAGGAGATTTGGGGCTGGCCCCACAGACAGCATGGAAGCTGGGACAGGAAAGACCTGGGGGTCCCGTCCCAGCCCTGCTTACCAGCTACCATGCGAACCTGCACAAATCTCTTAACTCTTCAAGACTCAGTCTCCTCATCTGTAAAGTGGGGATCATTGTACCAGGCAGAGCTCTTAGCAGCATTAATACACCTGACCATGATGCAAAGCATGGACTGTGCCCAGGGCCTGACCTGTGACGGTCATGCAGCGCCCATGGCCATGGTTATTTTCCTCTTCTGCCTGATCCTGGCCTTGAAATCTGCTCTGCAGGAGTTAAGGGAAAGGGAGAGTCTGACTCTGTTTAGAAGTTACTCTTCCAGTGCCTGGTCTGGAGTGGGCCACGGACATGCCTGGGGACTGTAAGGTGGATGGATTGAGGGTTAACTGCAAGGCAGGCATGAAGCTCTGCCAGCCACTTGGAGGCTCAGGGTTGTCAGGGGGCCTCTGGAGCCTTCTGGGTGCTGGTCATGGGACTCACCTGAGAGACCATGTGTACAGGCATGGGCAGTGCAGAGAAGGCAACATCCACCTGCCAGTGCCAGGACTTAAGTGGGTACTTTATAATTTTTAAAAAATTTGTTATTGTCGTTACTGTGAGTTTTCTTTCTTTCTTTCTTTCTTTTTTTTTTTTGAGACAGAGTCTCACCTGGTCACCCTGGGTAGAGTGCCGTGGCATCTTAGCTCACAGCAACCTCAAACTCTTGGGTTCAAGTGATCCTCTGGCGTCAGCCTCCCAAGTAGCTGGGACTACAGGTGCCCACCCCAATGCCTGGCTATTTTTTAGAGACAGGGTCAGGCTGGTCCCGAACCTGTGAGCTCAGGCAATCCACCCACCTCGGCCTCCCAAGTGATGGGATTACAGGAGTGAGCCACTGTGCCTGGCCATAAGTGGGTACTTTAAAGACAGGATAAGTCCCCTCACTGTCCATAAGCGAGAGTGAGAAGGGTGAAGGATGCCTGCATGGTCTTCCATCCTCACCACCACTCTGTGAGGCGGGGGCTGTGAGCTTCCATTGACTGATGGGGAAAGAAGGCTCAGAGAGGGCAAGAAACTTGCACAAGGTCACACAGAAAATAAGTGGAAGATCTGAACCCAGGATGACCAACTCCTGTACTGTGTTACAGATGAGATACTGGAGGCTGGGGGCAGAGTCAATCTACTTTGGCTGGATCCCCAGCCTGAGCCTGGAATCTGGATTTCTCAAGCCAATGTTCCTTCCAGCTTCATCCGAGGAAGCCAGCCTTATCCTTATGCCAGTCCTCTGTGGCTCCTTCAGCCTGGATGTCCACCCGCCCATCGCTTTGGTGGACAAACTCCAACTCTCCTTTGTAACTCGGCATAGGTGTCAAGGCTTTGGGAGGCTGCTCTTGGGTGGGTGAATGCCCTCCCCTGGGCAACAGAGCCCCATGCACCCTCCTGATACAGCCCATGTCCCATTGCATCTGCCTGAAGTCAGTTCTTCACCTGTCTGTTCACACTAAGGGATATATTCTTCAGGGACGTTCAGTCTCCACGTCTTGATCCAGTGTCCATTTATGCACTCATCCATCTGTCCATCCATCAGCCTGTCTGCCTATCCCTCCGTCCATTCACCAAATATTAACTGGGTGTCTGCTATGTTTCCAGCACTCAGAATAGTGGACCCAAATCTCTACTCTCAAAGATCTGACTTATATATGTTTTTCCAGCTCCTGGCAGAACAGTAAAAACATGAATAACAGCCACCACTTAAAAAAGATACAGAGGAACCCCATGAGTTTCAGAGAGGTTAAGAAACCTGTCTAAGGTCATGCAGCAAACAGTAGAGCTCTGGTTTGAACCTAGTTTGTATGATACTGAAGCTATTCTGCTGCCTTCCTTTGCATCAGTAAACACTCCCACCCCATCTTTGCCATCGTCATGGGGAGCGGAGAGCAGCCTGGAGGCTCCACCCCAGCAGGGGCGTCTCACCTTCTGCTGTTTGATGGCCCTGTTGAGTCTCTTCTCCTGGGAGAGCTGCTGCTCCGTGCGCTCCAGGGCCTCCTTTAGCAGGGCCTTTTCTTCGGCCTCCTTGTAGATGTCGTCCTCTAGCTTGGCTATCTGGGACTCGTACATCTCAACAGACACTTTGCTCTGCCTGGGTGCACAGGAGAGAGTCTCTTTTCCCTCATCCTTCCCGTCCATCGTCAACGTCCCGTTCCCTGAAGCCTCTGCAGAGACTTCCAGGGAGGGCTCACGGAGGAGTGTCATTACAGGCTGGGCAGCGGGACAAGGATTTGGGGAGTGGGGGACAGAACAAAGGGCTCCTCCATGGAGTCTGTGCAGCCAGAGTGTGGCATCTCCCCACGTGCTAGAGCATAGGGGTGCAGCTATTGAAAATACGGTAGAACCCCCAAAGCCACACTAGGGGAGTCATCAGCCAAGGGTCATAAAGGTAGAGCTTGCACAGGAAGCGAGCCCAGGAATGGAGAAGCCCGAGAGCTTCTATGGCTGCTTTCATACAAACTCGCCTCTCTTGGGCCCTGGTGGCTGTCCGTCCCCCTTCCCTCCCGACATCTAGGTCATTCTGTGCTCAGGCCTTTGCCCTCCTGTTCTAGGCCGGGGGTCTCTGCCAGCTAGTGTTTAGACATGGGGCCCTGGGGTACCTGAGCTGTTCAATGTCCTTCTGGTACCCTCGCAGAAGCTCCTCTTTCCTCTCCAGCCGGCTCTTCAGCTGGGCAATCTTATCGAACACCAGGTCGAGGTCCCTTTGTCGAAGCTGGCTGACTCTCTCCCTCTCTTTGGAGGAGAGGTACTTCATGGACACGTGGCCTGACATGTCCTTGATGTTCATCAGACATCCCAGGGTTTTGCTCATGTCCATGTACTACAAGGAAAAGATTTGTGGGTGAGAGAGATGGCTCGAGACCGCTGGTGGCTGCTCTAAGGAAGCCGAGGTTTAATTTGGTTTCATACATTCTCTGCAATTGCAGAAGACAAACAAATGCTTTGGAAAGGAGTGCAACTGGGCTTCAGAACCACGTTCATTTTCTCCACATCCATTTACACTTTGCCTTTTTCGAGAACCGGAACAACAGACATAAACATTCATTCTGCCCAAAGAATCAGGCTATGCCATTTCCACCCGTGCTGGGATAATAGGCGGGTCTTGCAGAGTTATTAGAAAAACCAAATAGGTATATGAGGTTGATATTTAAACTGTCCCATGGTTAACAATGACTGCAGGGGGCTCAGGTTTTGGGAGTGGTGGTGCAGATGTCGTAAATACGTACCAGCTTTTCACTGAGCTCTAAAGCCTCCGATGCATTCACTTTCTCCGACTTCTCCACTGCTGAGCCGGAGCCTGGACGGCACAGGTGATTCTGAAGCTGAAATCAAAAAGGAAAACTCTCTCTCGGCGTTCTGTCCCGAGTTTCTACCAGCAGAAGCTGCAGCGCTGTGTGATTACTGAAGAGCGACTCAGGCTGATTTTCGTTTCCGTTCCTGGCCATTCAGTCTGATTTCTTCGTCAATGGCTTTCTTATAATCCTATTCCTACTCTTCAGAGGAAGACTCTCTCTCTGAAATTATACATCACTCATCTCATTCTTTAATCACGGTCTTCCTTCTAGAACGGTGGCTCTTGGTTGGGGTGATTTTGTTCCCTCCCCAGGGACATTTGGCAGCAGAGTCTGGACACATTTGGGGTTGTCACAACTGAGGATGGGGAGTGCTACTGGCGTCTAGTGGGTAGAAGGCAAGAGCGCTGCTAGACACCCTGCAATACACAGGTCACCCCCTGCTCCCCCATTGGCCCAGAGTGATCTGGCTCAAAATATTCACAGTGCTAAGGCCGAGAAAGCCTACTGCTATTCTGCAGAAACGGGGGCTGTGTTGCTGTTTGCTCAAGGTCCCACTCCTTGGGTATCTGGTGCAGAGTGGCACAGAAGGGGCGTGTCTGTTGAATGATTGGCTGCAGGTTCCACAGAAGATATCCCCGCTCTTTTGATTAAAGGGCTCTCATTTGTGCGCCGCAGAAACCAGACCCCCAGGAAGTTTGGCTAGTGTGGAACCTGGCAAGTGAGCATTGCTTCCAGCCCGCTCCAGAGACAGGGCAAGGGAAGGGTGCTCACAGCTGCGCATGTGCTGAGACCCTGCTCAGCCAGCTGGCTGTGGAAAGCCCCAATCAAATTCATGAAGAAGCCACCAGGCCATGCAGGATGTCGGTCTGGAGGGCCACAAACAACCCTCACGATTCTCCTTACAATTAAATTGGGACTTCAGTGTTTGCCACGAACATCTCAGCCTGGGGCAGTTACTGGCACTACACTGTAAACAACTGAGATTTCAAATCAACCAACCAACCAAAACCCAATCACGAAAAAACAAAGGCCTAAAACTCTATAGGTCTTTGGATTTTATAGGACTGTGATACTGTGATAGGCAAGTGTAGACATATTTGTCTATTTTAAGAGTGGATGCATTGAGTGGCGTCTGTGGCTCAGGGGATAGGGCGCCAGCCCCATATACCGAGGGTGGCAGCTTCAAACCTGGCCCTGGCCAAACTGCAACAACAACAAAAATAACTGGGTGTTGTGGCGGGCACCTGTAGTCCCAGCTACTCTGGAGGCTGAGGCAAGAGAATCGCTTAAGCTCAAGAGCTGGAGGTTGCTGTGAGCTGTAATGCCACAGCACTCTAATGAGGGCAGCAGAGTAAGACTTTGTCTCCAAAAAAAAGAAAGAGTGGATGCATTTATCTATTTATAGGGATAAGAATAAAGAGGGTAGTTGACCATGACAATAACTTGTGCAGATTTGCAGCAAAAGAGCCTAAAATGCAGCTTGGCATCTCCAGCCCCCTCCGCTGCATCCTCTGCACCCCTCTCCAGGATCCCCTCTTTTCCTGAAGGTGGCAGAAGTCCTGAGGAAGGGTCATCTAAGGAAAAATCTGAGCTACAGGTCCAGTCACACTGTCCTCCCCTCTTCTCTGCAGACTAGTGACATCCAGGGACACAGTCCTGCTTCCATCATTCATTATCTCTGTGACCTTGGGGGAGGTACTTGACCTTCTGAAGCCTCAATTTTTCTTATATGTAAAATGGGAATAATAATAGTAAGTATGTCCCAGGCTGCTGTGAGGATTAAATGAAGGGCTCAGCTCAATGCCTGGCACACAGGAAGTGCTCCATAACTATCAGCTCCCTTCTCTTCTTTTAATTTTAATTATTGCCACCCTCGGAAGATTGAGGCCTTTTATGTAAGAGAGCCGAGAGGTGTTTCCTGCTGTTTGGTGTCAGTGGTGGGATCAGGGAAGCCAAGTCTTAGAAGCAGAACCAGGCTGGGCCTCCACCTGGAGAGTGCCCCTCCACTCCCAACCTTGGGTTGGGGGGGTGGTTCTTTCATGTAGAAAACCAGCTCATTTCTAAATAACCTCTAAAGCATATGTCCACAGAGCAGTGTTGGGAGAGAATGTTGGGGTAAATAGGATGGCCTCGTGATTTCTTCTAAAAGCCTGTGTGGAGCCTAGATCCAGCTTTGGCAGCCAGCACGCGCTGGCAGTGATTGACGCTGACCTGAGCTGTCCATTGTCATATATGTGTCCATCAAATGCCCAAGTCCATGCAGGGTACAGGTGCCCCTTCAATTTCACATTCAAATCACTTCTGAAAATTCTGGCAATTAAAACCGTGCCCCTTTAAGAAGAGCCATTTTCCTTGAGTAATAGTATTTAAATAAAGGTGGGTGGATTGCTTGAGCTCAGGAGTTCAAGACCAGCCTGAGCCAGAGCGAGATCCCCTCTCTAAAAAAAAAAAAGAAAATAGCTGGGCATTGTGGCAGGCACCTGTAGCTCCAGCTACTCAGGAGGCAGAGGCAAGAGGATTGTTTGAGCCCAAGAGTTTGAGGATGCTGTGAGCTGTGATGCTACAGCACTCTACTGAGGGTGACAAAATGAGACTTAGGCTCAAAAAAAAAAAAAAAGTAGGCAACATCTATGGCTCAAAGGAGTGGGGTGCCGGCCCCATGTGCCAGATGTGGTGGGTTCAAACCTGGCTCCAGCCAAAAAAAAACAAAAACCTGTAAAAAAAAAAGTACTTAAATAATATTTAATAATAATAATAACAGCTGGCTTGGTGCCTGTGGCTCAAGTGGCTAAGGTGCCAGCCATATATACCTGAGCTGGCAGGTTCAAATCCAGTCTGGACCCACCAAACAACAATGACGGCTGCAACCAAAAAATAGCCAGGTGTTGTGGTGGGCGCCTGTGGTCCCAGCTACTTGGGAGGCGGAGGCAGAAGACTTGCTTGAGCCCAGGAGTTGGAGGTTGCTGTGAGCTGTGATGTCATAGCACTCTACCCAGGGGGACAGCTTGAGGCTCTGTCTCAAAAAATAATAATAATAATAACAGCTATCATTTATTTATGTTCCTTGTGAGCCAGGCACTGGGTTAATTATAGAATTCCCTCCTTTAATTTTTTTCATCATCCCTTTGCAGCTGGGAAATGGAGCCCCAGAAAGGTTAAGAGCCTTGTCCCAAGTCACACAGTTTGCAGAGCTAGGATCGGACGCATCCCTCTGACTCCAGAATCCATGTCCTTCTAATCATAGCTCTTTTCTGCTACTTTTTATATGTTTGTGTTTATCAGTTTACAGTGATAGGCAAACTTTAGGCAAACCCAATGTGTAATGTTGTACACTAGCTCCCTAAACGTGTTCTGCAGAATGTAACCCATGATGGGAAAAGGGCCCGTGGTACTTTCTCGGCTGGTCTGGGCCACGGTCAACACAATGACACACCATGGTGCCCAACGCAGGTGGCTGTCTTCCTATGTAAACACTGGACAACTGGTAAGGCCAGGACACCGACCAGTGAGCACAGACACCAGCCCGTCGGGGAGGACCTGGCCCTGAACCTCTGATATATATGGCTGTGCTAGGGCACCTGGGTGTCTGCCCTCAGGCCCACCCTCTCCACATGCCAGTCACGGCAGAGACAAAGTTTCTTTGGTTACCGATGGGATCTCTATTCTTGAGAGAGCTGGAAAATCAGGTTGTGTGTCCAATAACATTTTCTGGATATTTTTTTCCATTCTGAGAGTCTTTAATTCTAGAATTGATTCATTCAGGTTGTCCTTATTATCTATAAAAGAAATAATTTAGGCTCAAAAGAAAGGCTCAGGAAGAAGTCATTTCATGTAATAACTGTAGCTGCTACTTAGGGGACACTTACCACGGGCCTATTTTAATTCTCACGACCTCCCTTGGCAGATGTGGAAACTGAGGCCCAGAGAGATTAAAGGGCTAGTTCAAGGTCACACTGTGAATATGAGGCTGCAGCCACACAGGTGCCAGCACTATGGCATGAGGGGCGAACTTTGCTAAGGTCCTTTGGCCACAGAACAAGGGTAGACCTTGAACCCAGACTTCTAGCTCCTAGCCCGCTACTCTACCCAGCAGGAAGTTCCAGATCTTGAGATAGCCCTACCCCTGCTAAATGGGGTGCTGTAAAATGTTCCCCAACATGGATCCTCAGATGTTAGTCCATGATAAGGTTTCTACCCGGCCACAGCGAAATAAGAAAAAGGACACTAGTGAGTTTTTTTTTTCACTGAAATCCTATTTATTGAGTATTGAGGTCTGCACTTGATCCTGAGTTCGTGGCCTGTCCATCTTTTTCTGTATCGCAATATCCTTTCAGCACTGAGATCATGGGGAGGTAAGATGACAGGCCCGGCAAATCAGCCAGTCCCCACAGCGTGCCTGTGTCTGGGGTCCACCGCTGTGGCCAGGAAGGAGGAAACTTACGTGGCGAGCAGGTTTTCTCAAGTTCTTTAATTCTCGCTCGAAGTTCAGATAAGGCCTTTTTCTGACGCTGAATGACCTCCTCGTGTCGAGACCCTTTGCACTTGGCTCCGAGGTCACTGAAAGTTTGCTCCTGTGGGCACAATGGCGTAGACAGCAGTTAATTAGGGACTGGAATATTTCTCTGACATTCACAGAAACGTGGGCAATTCACGCGCGGCAGCAACTCTGTCACTTAGCACCTTTAGAAAATCTCATAAGGGGTTTGGTGGAGAAGGAATTTAAGTTTTCCATCTCAAATATCAAGTCCTATCTAGGGAGATCTCCAACTTTCCTATCTACTGAGCAACACTGTAAATAAAAGATCCCTCTTATATTTCCTTTGCCTGCTTTCTTTATTTTTTTCTTCTAATACCCTTCCATGCCTGAGTTTCCACGTGTTGTCATTCTGGTCTTGTTTGTGAATCATCATGGCTCTTAGACTCCTGGAGGTAATGATGCTTTCCTTTTATTAATAACGGTCATATAGAGCCTTGTCTAACATCAGCAAGGGGAGATTTGCTACACTGGCTCTCAGTTGGTCTGGAGAAAGGAGAACCATACTCTGAGATTTCTGGAGCCTCTAGGAGAACATTGCCCCCCAGAGCTTCCTATGAAAATGGAAAAGTTTTATTCATGCGCCATCCAATATCATGGCCACTGGAGACACGCAGACCATAGTGGGCAGCTCAGGGCTTGAGTTGGGTTTACTAAGAGCACAGACCATTAAAGATCTTCATCTTTTAAGGGTCACGTACCTTTTTTTTTTTTTGAGACAGTCTCACTATGTTGCCCTCAGTAGAGTGCTGTGACGTCACAGCTCACAGCAACCACAAACTCTGTGGGCATAAGCGATTCTCTTGCCTCAGCCTCCCAAGTAGCTGGGACTACAGGTGCCTGCCACAACAGTCGGCTATTTTTTTTTCATTGTTGCTGTTGTGGCAGTTGTCGTTGATGTTTAGCTGGCCCGGGCTGGGTTTGAACCCGCCACCCTTGGTGCATGTGGTTGGTGCCGTAACCACTGTGCTTCGGGCACTGCCTCATGTACCTTTTTAAGATTTGAAAGAACACAGGGTTCTTTTCTCCAGAAAAACTTAACCTGCACACAAAATTTTGCACATGTCTAGAGGTTCAAGGACCTCCTGAATTCTAGTCACGAGCTACAAGTTACTCATTTGTCTAGGGTAAGCAATTCATTCATTCACACAGATTTATGGAGCAGCTCTACGCCCCAAGCCTTGTTCTAGGCTTTGGGGATTCAGCAGTGACTCATACCGGTAACACCCCTGCTGTCATGGGTGCTGTCCTGGGTTTTGCGTCCTAAACTGGGGAGACTGACAACAGGAAAAAAAACAGGGAAGATTCATGGTGGATAGTGATGAATGGTATAGAGAAAATGAAGTGGGGAAGTGGGAAGGGGTGTCGGGAAGGGTTTGCAATTGTAGATTGTAGATCGAGCTGCCGGGGAAGGCCTCCATCACACTGGCAGGAAAGGGAAGAAACTGACAATCTGGTTCTCCTATAATAATTTTTAAAATAACAATTTTGGCTCACTGCATACGTAGAGAGAGAGATAAATACAGATAGAGACGATGACATATGTAGCACGAAGTGAACCAAAATTATTTTTAGAATTGTCTATCAATCATCTATCTATTTATCAATGCCAGCACCAACTACATGCCAGACACCATTCTAGGTGCTGGGGTGAAATCAGGGACCAGGCAGACAAGCTGCCACCGAGCTCAGACAGATGACAAAGGAGCAGATAGGTACGTAAATATTCCCCAACGTGACAAGTGCTACCAGGGAGACAAAGTGGAGGAGGGGAAAGGAGACATTCGTTTGCTCTTCTCCCTGTGGGGACGCCAAGGGCTGTCAGGGGTGTCCCAGGTCCCATGCTAGCTGCGCTGGCCTCTGGGGGTCTGGAGTCCAGGGCCCATGGCCTCCTCCAGGGGCTCAGTAGTGCCATCTGAGGGACTGTCCTTCATGTCCCCAGTACTGGCTCCTTCCCTTCCTTCAGGCTCTGCCCCAGGTCTCCTCCTGCACAGGCCTCCCCACCACCTCATCTGGAAGAGCTCCCACCCCCAGCACATGACTTTCTGCCCCAATCTGCCCTGTGGGTATTCGGGACACTTATCCCCACCTGACTCTTGATGTTGACTTGACTACAACTCACTGCTGACTTGCCTACTTCCCACGCTCTCCTCCCGGAACACAGCCTCTGGGAGGGCGAGGTCTTTTTCCCCTTTGTGGACCCGCTGTTCCCTGCTGGCTGGACGTAGTAAGCGCTCAACAAACGCAAATGGAGTGAGGTCACAAACAGGAGCCGCAGAGCTCGCCCGGGGCTGGGACCAGGGCTCAGCAGCCAAGCAAGGGCACCTCATCCCCAGCTGCACTTAGCGGGACCCCGGCTCCAGCCTGCTGCAGGCTGCACAGCTGGTCCCCTTCCCAGGTTGGTGACACTGGCCTGACTCATCTCTTTGAGAGTGTGTGCTTGCCCTGGGAGTAAATGACTAGAATGTTCTCTGTCTCTCTATCTACCCGTCTCTGTGTACAGGAAAGGGCAGGAGATACTGAATTCTGGGGATTGTGGCGGAGCCAGGGCGGTGAGGCTCTGGTGCAGCCTTTGGCCTGGGGAGCTCCCAGAACTCCCTGTGACCCTTCCTCATGGCTCTTCTGGGAATTTATTTATTTAGAGAGGATGGAGATTCTTCCTCATGTGACTTTTAAGCCCTCTGACCTACTCTGGCTTAAAAAGCAGGAAGTAGCCTCAGGGAATAAACACACTTTCCTTTCATCTTGCAGCACCCCCACCCGTATCCCCCACTCCCCACTGATCCCTCCTCATAACACAAACTAAAAGTCAAGGGCCAGTTCAACAATCCATTCCATCCAACATGCAGGATGTCCAAGGCGGGGATTGGTGCGGGCAGGAACCCTCCACTCCCCAGCACGCAGCAGGTGCCCAATTGCTGTTTAATGTGTGGATAAATATGGGTCCAGTCCTGTTCTAAGAACCTGGGGTTCCATCTGGAGTGACATCCGCTCCCTGCTCCACAGAGCTTAGTCCCCTCCCAGTTGCCTTGAGTAACAAGAAGACACCCCCTTTAAAGTGCTCTGGACAGCACCGGTGCCAAGAACAGCGGCTGGACCTCGAGCCCTTTCGTTCAAGCTGTTTGTGGCCTGGCTCGACGCCATGTTGGCAGGGGAAAGGCATCTTTGAGAAAGCAGGAAGGCGAGCTGACACATTTGGCCCTGCTTCCTCGTGAAAATCCAAAGCCCATTACTGGAACACCCTGCTCGCAATCTTCCTAAAGCCACGGAAACGGATATCCTCAGGCTCCTGGAAACCTGGGGCCTCAAGGAACCACTACACCCCACGATCAGCCCCAGCCACAGCTTCCAAAATTATGAACCAGCTTCCAGGACACCAAGACCCGTTCCCTGTTTGATGTGCAGCTGGGACTTCCAGGCGTGCAAAGGCTTCTGGGTGGGCACACAGGGAGTAGCTGTCAGAGGCAGCCGTGGGCCACGAATTGCATGGCTCTTTGGAGAGGCAGTGGGCCTAACAGTTTAGAAACTACAAGTGCATCAACTGTGACATCGTGAAACAGAGAAACAACCTAAGTGTCTGCCAACAGGGGACTGGTTGGATAAAAGAGACACAGTTGGAAGTCTGTGCAGTCATTTAAAAGACTGAGACAGATCTTCATATATGTACTTGAAAAGATGCCGTAAAATAGAGTCATGTAAAAACAAAACCATGTTGCAGAATGTATATGGGTGGATCCCATTAGCAATACAATTACCTACATGTATTAAGTTAGCATCTGGATGCATGGGGCTGTGTGTCTGCCTATGTTTGTTCATGTGTATATACAGATAAATTTTTTCTCAGCCATCCCTGAGGTGGGGACTGTTGTTACTCCCAGACAAGGAACTAGCAGTATACAGTACGCAGTTTCTAAGTGGAGGAGGTGGGATTTGAACCCAGGCAGAGGATCCCCTGCACACTCCTGCCCACAGGAGGATGTGGAGGCCTGATCTGATGACACACATGTCAAACTGTGGACAGCGGTGACCTCTGGGGACTGCGATCAAAGGGGCAGGAGTCTGTGTTTTACTTTGTACATTACACACAAAGCAGGTGGTACTTTTGGAACTTAGAATGAAATCTCTTCAATGGGAAGGAAAGCCACCTCGGTCTTAGCGTGCCCTTCTTGTTGCTTGGGACTAGGGAGCACTCACCTCTTGGCTGCTTGAATTCTCTGTGTCTGTTGGTTCTATCTGCACGGAGATGTCCCGCATCTGGGCCTTCTTCTTGGGCTTCTGTTCCTTCTCTGGGTTCATCTGGAGCTTTTGTTTCTCTTGGGCAACCCTAGGACAGAGAGGAGGAGTCACAGGATGACACAAGAACAGGTCCTGAGAACCACAGGTAACTTTTGTACCCCTGGGCAGACTAGAAAACGGAGCTCTATTTTTACTCCAGGTAACTGAAATATTTGAGACTTCGAGTCTCCTGCTCCCAGATTTCAAGAGAACTGAGTGTCAGGAGACTTATGAGGAGTGGCCAGGGTAGTTGGCACCTGTCTTTGCTTCCTGCACTGTGGACATTAGCGGTGGCACTTACAGGGTCATCTCCTGCATATCTATAATCCTAACACCTTGTATGTGTTAACCCTTGTATTTCTCATAATAATTCTGTGAGCTGGAATTTCCTTGTTCTGTTTTTCAGACAAGCAAAGAGACATAGCAAGTTGCTGCCCGTGGTCACTGAACTTGTGCATGGAGGCATCTGGCTTTGAAACCAGGCAGCCTGGAGCCACAGCCTGTTCTTTTAGCCACTATACGCATCTGCCTGGGCCACCAGGAACATGAAGCTACAGGATATACACAAAACACCACTTTTACTCAACCTTTTTTGGGGGGGGGGGCGGGGAATATTACTTATGTTAAAATATGGATGAAGAAAAATACAAACTCATAGGTGTTTTTTAGATGAATCCATGGGACAATGACAATATGTTTTTTATCACGACACCTCCAGTTTATTCGTCTATTCAGTAACTATTAAGCTCCTTTACGTGCCAGGCACTGTGTGAATGTGGGGCCCATACAGACCCTGTCCTCCTGGGGAAGGCAGGTGATAAACAGGCAATCGTAGCCTTGTCGTGTGGCAAGTGGTGGGTCAGACAGAGTGCAGGGGCTGAGGGACCCCAGGCAGAGCGGGATCCCTTGGCTCTGTTTGCTGAGGGAGGGAGGGCTTCCTGGAGGAAGTGGCATTCAAGCTGAGCCTGCCTTCTGGAATATTGGGCAAGAATGTTTGAGAAGCACAGAACTAAGCCAAGCCCTGTTTTAACTGATGAGGCTGTGAAACAATGAAACGTGTCTCATTCATTCCTTCAGCACCTCAAGCAGCACCTGCAGAGTCCTCTGTTCGTGTGAGGTTCCTGGGGCCCCCCAGGCCCTGCGGGGGCCTCCCACGCACCTGAGCGCCTCTCTGAGGACCTTCAGCTCCCTCTCTTTCTTCTCCAACAGGCTGTTCATGTGGATCATCTTCTGCTTGAGCACACTCAGCTCTCGGCTCTGCTGCTGGACCAGCGCCATGTTCCGCTCCAGCTCTATCTTCTGCTTCTCGTTAAGTTCCCCTGGGAGCAACGTGCAAGCTGGTGAGGGAGGGGGTCTCTGCTAGGGCACCACAGATCTGTCAGGCCTCCGGGGACCACGAGGCAGGTCTGCCCTCCTGGAATCTCAGGGGTTTCAGTAACAGCCAGGAGGTCTGTTTGCACCGTGGCCAGTAACAGCATCAGCATACAACGTCCCTCCTGGCAGGTGCTGGCTTGCTAAGACCCCTGGGCTCCTGCCTCACCCCAGCATTGTACCAGTACACGCTGTCAGGGCCGCCCTTAGCCCAAGGCAGCCACCAGAGCTGAGACCTTAGTCTGCCAGGTGCAGTGACCTCCTGCCAACGGCCCCTCAGCTGGGGCATCCTGGAGGCACATGCTCCCCCTGGCTCCTCAGCACTGCCCGGCAGAATTAAGCTCCACTTGCCCTCTGTGCCCACTTGACCGACAGCCCACTGTTACTTGCTTTCTTCCTCTTCCTGTCTTGCTCCCTGCGCCACTGCTGTTGTTTCCTGAGATTTCTGCTTGAATAAACTGCCTGCAGTGGAATTCTGCTCTCTGGGCTTGCTTCTGGAGAAACCCAGACTAAGACACCTGCATTACCTCGAATCTTCTTGGCAACACCACAAGGCAGTTTCTATTAATATCCCCACTTCACAGATGCAGAAACTGAGGCTCAGAGAGGCAAAGGGACTACTTGCCTAAGGTCATGCAGAGCAGGGGCAGAACTGGGTCCAACATCTCCTGATGCCAGAACTGGTCACTGCAGCCTCTGTACTATGCTTTATCATATCTTACTATGGAAAAATGACTCTTTACAGAACTCAGCCCTACGTGGGGGTGGGGACAGGAACAGCCACAGAGAGCGAACGCCGCTGAAGGTTCGGGGATGTATAGGGTTTGAGATGGGCACGGGATAAGAAGAGCGTTCTTTCCCCTCCCTTTACTTCCCCAGACTTAGTTCTCTGCCCTGACTGCTGCCTGACAATGCCTTTTGGCTCCGTGGAGATGAGGGACAGGAAGAAGAAATAAAAGGACAGAGCAGCAAAGTGGGAATACGAAGCCAGTGCTGCTGTGTCTGTCTGAAAAGTGTGTCCATCTCACGGTTATTTGCCCCTACTCTGGTGGCCACTGACATCCACCTCACCCCTAGGAAAGAGGGTGTTTTTGTATCCAAGGGACAGGCAGCCTGGGGAGGCCACTGTGGCTACACTCCAAAGCCAGTGAGCGCCAGGGTTTGGGAAAACTGGCCTCCCCTGGGGGCCCAGGACTGCTCTCCAAGCCTTTGCTCTCAGAGGCAAGTCTTTTGTGGTAGAAGAAATTTCTTCTCCAAAAAGAAAGTTGCATATCAATGCAGAGGGCCAAAGTCCTTCAGAGAATGTGGCCCTTGGCCCGTTGGCATTGGGGTTCAGAGCTATATACATACAAGATACAGCTTTTGCTGGCTCGGCACCTGTAGCTCAGTGGCTACGATGCTGGCCACATACACTGGGGATGGCGAGTTTGAACCCAGCCTGGGGCCTGCCAAATGACAAATATAAAAAAAAATTAGCTGGGAGTTGTGGCGGGCTTCTGTAGTCCCAGCTACTTGGGAGGCTGAAGCAAGACAATCGCTTAAGCCCAAGAGTTTAAGGTTGCTATGAGCTGTGATGCCACAGCACTTTACCAAGGGCACATAGTGAGACTCTGTCTCAAAAAAAAGATAGCTTTTGCTGACCCCAAGTTACAGGTGTCAGCACAAGAATACAGGTTGGCTGGAATTTTTTATACCAAAGTTCCCAACTCTCAAGCCCCGTTTCCTTCTTTTCCCAAGAGGGTCAGGACATCAAGGGACACAGGAAATGGGTCAAACCTCTCAAATCTGACATGCGGCTGTGGGCTTCCGTGAGATCTTTCCTTAACTTCATGATGATCTCCTGCTGAGACAGGATTTCCTTCTGAGCAGTCAGTAAGTCCTCTCTGAAATTCACAAAGACAGGCCAAGTCAGTTCAACTCAATCTTCCCGGGGTCTCTGAGTGTCTGGAAGGGGCCACACACAAATCAGGGTGAGGTTCAACCATGGTCCTTGGGATACCATCCCAGCAGAGGGAGGAACTCTCTCAAGACAAAACTTCATTCCGATGAACCTTCATTTTAAAAAACAAAATGAGACAGCACAAAGGGTGTGGCTGGGTTTGGTCTGAGGCTGAAATATGCCTTGTGTGAGGGTGACACCACTTCTGGGTCCATTATCCACCAGCATGAATTGACATGGCTGTGGGCTTTTGGATGGGGGAAGTAGGGAAGACTATTTTTGGTGGATTCAGAGATTGTTTGAGGACAGGGAAGAAGAAAGAGAGGAAGACACTATGGCTTTTGTTTTCTCTCCAGCTCCTCTGAATTCCTGGCGGACAGAGGTGGGGCCAGAGATGAATGAATGAATGGTGTTCGTGGGGGTATCAGTGAAAGAGTGGGCTTCAGGGCCCAGACAACCAAGGGGGCACAGGGATAGCAAAGGACAGTCCCTCACCCCAACCCAGAGAGCAGGACAGCTCCGCACTGAGAGGCCCAGGGTGGTTGGTGGGGGGGGGG